GCTCACTGTCTCACACACATATAAGCCAGGGTTCTGGCATCAGATTTTCTTAAACAGAAAGGGCTTCTGTTGACACTGACACAGGAAACGTGTTCAGATTTATTATGCCATTTGTGGACATTGATCTGGTTTATAGGGAAAGGGGAGGAACTACTTACCAGCAGGATGGTAAGAAGTGGACTGTCAAAAAGAAAAAAAAAAAAGAAAAAAAGAAGAAGTGGACTGTCCTGTGCCTTATACTCAGGAAAAGACAATCATGTTTTACATGCTCCTTTCCGTGAGAAATATCTTGTTTTGTATGAATGGCGAGTTTGTAACAGCAGAGGGCATCAGCTGAGTGAGCAGGCTTCTTCTGTACACGTTCAACTAGAGATCACTCGCTCATGTTTTGCTGGTTTCTGGCAGGTTCTAGAAGTCCCTACAAAACAACTTCAAAGGGCTTTGTGTTTGCGTACGTTATACCCAGTCTCTAGCCAGTTTCATTTGTAGCACAGAAAAAAAAAATGTATCTGATCGTTTTCCAGCTGGCACAGATCTTCCCAAACTGGGGTTTTCCTGAGTGATAAGGTGCCTGTGTTATGCAAATAGGGCAATGCCCAGGGTCACCTAGGTTTGGAACTTGAACAGTGATTTAATCAATTTTGTCTGTAGGATGAACCTCCAACTTAAAAAAAAAAAAAAAGCAGTAGATTCCTGGTGGCGAATACACTGAAGTGAGAGAGGGCAGCATGCCTTTATAAGCAGAAACAAGGGCATGGAGCACTCTGCCTGAACCACCGGCCATACTGCTGTAGTTTGGAACTGAGGAGTCTCCCAAAGGCTCATGTGCTAAAGCAGTATTTGCCAACCTGTGGCACTAATGGGAGATGGCAGAACCTTTCTGAAAGGAGTAATAGTGGAGCGTAGGTCACTGGAGAGGTGTCTTTGGAGTCCTAGCCCCTTCCTGTTTCCTTCCTTGCTTTCTGGCTGTCATGAGGCAGCTTTCTCCTCTTCGTTTTTCTACCCTGATGTCCTATTGCCTCACCACAGGCCCAAAGACAATGGAGTCAACTTATTGTTGAATTAGGAGCGGCGACAGGGCTGCATCCCCGGCACCCGGCCGCCCGCATGGCTAGCTTATGCCCGAAATAATTACACGGAAACTGTATTCTTTCAAACACTGTCTGGCCCGGCTAGGTCCAGTTTCTTATTGGCTAGCTCTTACATATTGTTCTAACCCATTTATAATATTCTGTGTAGCCCAAGAGCTGGCTTACCAGAGAGGATCTTAACCTGCGTCTGTCTGGAGTGGGAGCATCATGGCGACTGCTCCACCAAGCCTCCTTCTCCCAGAATTCTCCTCTGTTTTCTTCACCCACCTAAGGGTGGGCCTTATCAAGGGGCCTAGGCAGTTTCTTTATTAATAAGAAATCACTCCCACATCAACTTATTCTGATCGAACTTCCAAAATTGCAATTCCAGATAGCCTTTCCTTCTTTAAAGTTGTCTCAAGCCTTAGTTAGAGCAATAGAAAGCTGACTACACACCCTGAGTAGCTGTGGGGATGGAATGAAGAAAGGACAGACACACATACATTATGGCCGGGATAAGGTGGGAGTTTCTTTTAACTCTACGTCTTGCCCCCTGACATCTCAGTATGTTTATTATGTACATCCCAGAATCGGGTGGTAAGGCAGGAGGTATTAGTTAGCCTGGGTAGGAGGTCTCTGAAGGCCAGCAGTCTCAGGCCATAAACACCAGGGAAGAGGAAGATGAGGTTGCTAGTCTTTGCACACACTGACTAATTATTATTAAACACTGGTGCTTAGACTTCTGAGGAAAGCTTTGCCATCCATGTTGAGCCTGGCCCACATGGGAAATCACCTTTGTCAGCATCCCATGGGTCCAAGACTTTGGAGGGCTTCATAGGGTTGTGCCAACTGTCAACAATACACAAGATTTCATTCAATCAAGGCTTGCCCCCTCCCTACACACACTTTCCATTTGAGTCTCCTTTATAATGAAACTTTAATCACTTAACTATAGTTTTCCTTTTCATCTTGTGTTCTGCTAAGCTTTTCTACTTAACTTGTTGGCATACAAACGAGTTCTACAATAGCCCAGAGTGGAGTATAACAAAAGTTTATTTATTTGGGGATAAACTCACAGGAAGAGTAGCAATCCACAGTCCTCTGTGTGCACTGGGAACTGGAACTGAGTCCAGCAGCCAAGAGACCCATGCACACTTTTTGTCTGCATTTAGAGTGCATGAGACCATGCCCAAAGTGGGCTGATATCTTAAAAAAAAAAAAAAACTATTGGCTGAAGGAGTTCCCACATCACAAACCCCTCTCTACAGCCCTGCCTGTTGGCTCTGCCCAGTCCAAAATGGTGGAGGTATGGTCACTGCCTCTGCCAACCATGCTAACCACCCCAGCTCTAGATGCAACAGGGTCTATGCTGCCATTAAACAACTAGTAGCACATTGCTCACAAACCCCATTTAAACACAGAACCTTGCAAAAGAGCCAGAGCTGTGTGTGCTGCCAGCACGGACCAGAAAGCCACCACTTCTTAAAGCCATGCAGTGTTTGCTGCCAATGCTGAGTCAGGAAGCCCTTCTCTTAAAGGAATCACACCTCTTCTTGCCACCAGCACAAAGAGCCTATCTGAAAAAAAAAAATGCTACTGTCAAGAAGCTCCAATTAATTCCTGGGTTTTTTTTTTTTGTGAGTGTAGAAGCCCATTTTTAAGCTTTCTTAGGCTTTATGTACATTGCCAAATGCTGGGCATCATTTTGTAAAGCGGAGACGCTCGCTCATTCGTTCCCAACCACCCAGATTCGAATAATTACACAAAAACTATATTAATTACAACATTGTCTGGCCAATGGCTCAAGCATATTCCTAGCTAGCTCTTATGTCTTAACTTAACCCATTTCTATTCATCTGTGTATCGCCACAAGGCTATGGCTTACTGAATAAGGTTCTGGTATTTGTCTCCTTCGGCAGCTACATGGCCTCCCTTTGATTCCACCTACTCTTTCTATACATCTTTTTTTTTTTCAGATTTCCTGCCTATCTGTACTCTGTTAAGCCATTGGCCAAAACAGGTTTATTCATCAATCAATAAAAGCAACATATATACAGAAGGACAGCCACATCATAACTATACTACATTTGTGCCTTAACAGTTCAAAGTAAAGGTAGTTTTTAGGATGTCAGTTTAGTGGGAGCCATTAGGTAGAGAACATTACTCTTAACCAGTAAAGGGTATACTAACTGAGCAATTTAGGGTCAGTACTGGATTGCAGAATACACAACTGGTATCAGGATAATACTTTTTGAGTTTTCTATTCTAATACTAAATATTCTCATGTTATTGGAGAAAGCATGTCTCTATCTTATGAACATTTGACAACATTCTGTATTAAACCTGACTTACAAGCAGCAAAACTTTATTCAAGACACTTTTTTAACTTTATGACTTTTCTGCTTCAACAAGCACTGTTGTGATGTTTAATGATCAGGAACACTCAAGGTGGCTTTTATGTTCACATCCCGCTCCCCACCCTTGCACGCCAGGCCTCCTCCACACAGAGTACTTTCCTAGCCTTCCACTAGGCTTGGACCCCTGGTTACCTCTCTGATAGAGGTGCTATTGTTAGCATCTCCCTGGCCCCAGGCCGTTTTGCTGCTCTTTGCCATATGCTTATTTGACCCTGGCTGTCCCTCATAGCAGTTACCTGGCAGTATCCCAACTGCAAGTTTCTATGTCTGTTTCCACTTCTCCTGCCAACCTCCATCAGAGGGTAAAGTTCTTCCCCTTGCCAGCTCAGGGCCTCACATGCTGTGGGCTGTGCTGGAACAGAATCAGTGGGTGAAAGCAATTGGGCAGGCCTAATGTGTAGGCTTAACTCATTTTGCCCAAGGCTAATGTTTGGAACATTCTGTTTCTTCTGGGAAAACCACCTGCCTGGGGCTTTTAAACATGCAAAAGTCGGATGAAGACTTATTGCTGGTTTAGATATTTAGAGAACCCTTACAAAGAAAAAGAACATTTTCAGATGGGAGAGTGAAATAGTCATCTAGGAAGAAAGAAGAGGCAAATCTAGAAAGGAAAAACTGGTTTTTCTCGAGCACTAGGATTGACAAAAGAGATGTGATGGATATGTCACACGTTCTTTTTCTTCCTCCTGTACTGAATTGGTTTGGAAGTCCAATAGCAAGAGAGCTGAAAGTCAGAGATGAGAAAAACTTTCATAGAAACAGGTATTCTCCAAGATCGGGAAGACCCAAAGCTCCCATGTTCTCAGCTTTCCTCTGGCCTTCAAGGAAGGCTCAAGGAACACCTGCTCAAAGCACCTTTGTAGGTGGGCATCCTCGACAAAGCCACTAGTAAGGCCTTCAGCAGTGGCCTCACTGATTGACAGCTGTGAACACAGTTGAGTCTTTGGGGAACTTCTGGAAATATGTAAGGGATACATGGGGCCAGTGCCATCTGGGTAGAATGGTAAGAAAAAGGGGAAAATTTAAGAGATATTCCTTTAAAAAGTATTTAGATTTTTTTGGAGATCGGTAATTTGTGCCACCAATATTTAATTATCCAAAAGAGAGAGAAAGGGAGAGAGAGAGAAAGAAAAGAAATGAACATTGGCTTTTACCTTATTCCATATGAAAATCAATGAATTCAAAATAGATCATTGATGTCAATAGTGGATTAATTCTGTAATGCATACACATCTCTTCATGGCTTTGTGTAGAAGGTTTTCTAGGGAGGACACAAGAAGTATTGATCATGAAAAAAAGTGAAATTTGACTTTATCAAAATTTAAATGCATTTGTTGAAAAGACAGTTTTGGATGCTAGTGATAGTGACTTGTTCCTGTAACCCCTGCAATTGAGAGGCAGACACCAAACAATCTCTATAAATAACTGTAAGGTCAGCTTGAGGTCCTTTTTTTTTTTAATTAAAAAAAGGACTTTAGACCAAGAGCTAAAGCTGGGAGATTGAAAAATGCAGACACCAAGGCACTGCTCGTCACTCCAGTTCTGATCCGCTCCTGTACCAGGGGTCTAATCAGGCCTGTGTCTGCCTCCCTCTTGAGTAGACCAGAGGCCCCATCTACACAGCCTTTCTGCAGCAGCTCCCCTCTCCATGTGGCCAGATGGGAATTCCAGACCAGTGTTGTTTCCCGGGACATTGACACAGCTGCCAAGTTTATTGGTGCCAGGGCTGCCATAGTTGGTGTGGCTGGCTCCAGGGCTGGCATTGGAACAGTGTTTGGTAGCTTGATTATTGGCTATGCCAGAAACTTGTCTCTCAAGCAACAGCTCTTCTCCTATGCCATTCTGGGATTTGCCCTGTCTGAGGCCATGGGGCTCTTCTATTCAATGGTTGCCTTCCTAGTCCCCTTCGCCATTCTGGGATTTGCCCTGTCTGAGGCCATGGGGCTCTTCTATTCAATGGTTGCCTTCCTAGTCCCCTTCGCCATGTGAGGCTCCATGGGGTCACCCAGCTGTCCCTGCTGCTTCGACTCCATGCCGTTCCTGGTGCTGGAGGGTGCTAAGCTTCACCATTAAACAACAACGTTTCAGAGAGAGAAAGAGAGAGAGAGAGAGAGAGAGAGAGAGAGAGAGAGAGAGAGAGAGAGAGAGAGAGAGAGAGAGAGAGAGAGAGAGAGAGAGAGAGAGAGAGAGAGAGGGGGGAGGGGA